TTCCTTAAGGTTTCTCACGTCCACGGTGACTGCTGTTTGTTGCTGGTGTTGATGTTGTTGGTTGGGTATCTTCATCACCTCATTCTTCTCTATGCCCACTTGAATGGTGTCTCATCTTCGCTGCCTCGTCTCTTCTGTCAACTTGTTGGTGTTTGCCTGTAAATCTTCGAGTTTGTATGATATCAGACATAAATCATCATCGTTGGCGAAATCCAAATATTCGAGGGTCTCTTCATCGGTCCAGTCAGCATATGACAGTCTTCTCGCTCATCACGGTTTGCTGCATGATCCAGTTCAGTCCAGTCCACTACAATCAGGAAGATGATTGGTGACAATGGGCAGCAACCTTGTCTTATTCCCGTCTCTACTGTAAAGGCATCACTGAACTTTCCATTGTGGATCATTTGGCATATGGTGTCCTCATATAGCTGTTGAATGAGGTTGATTAGGGCCTGTGGCACTAAAATTGTTATGTTGAAGCGCTTACCAAATTACTTCTCTGTCAACGCCTCGATCGAAGGCCTTTTCAAAGTGGATGAAATTGATTTGGAGTTGAGTTGACTGCCATTCTATACTCTGTTCTATGATGATGAGTAGGGTATAGTTGCAATTTGATGAGCACTTGATTTATTCTTCCTGATGCCAGCCAACCATTCTGTTCCCATCGTAATTTTGAACCCAGATCATCTTTTAGTCTCTCCAGGATGATGCGACATAATATTTTGCTTGATTTGGGTGGACTGAGGTGGATCATGATTCCGTGTTAGTTGTTGCAAAGATTTAGGTCTCCCTTCTTTTGGAGTTAGACAAGGTGGGCTGTCTTCGCATCAATCGGTAGTTACCCTTTCTTCATTCCTCCCTTCCTTTCAAACCTTCTGCAGTCGTGGTGTGAGCATGTCGGCTGCTGCTGTCTCTGTGTCTGTTTTCATTGCTCCAGGAGGAATCCTATCTGGCTGGGCTGCTGGTAGTATTTCTGGACGAGTTGTGTGTGATGGTGGTGGTGGTGGTCGATACAAGAGTTTTTTGAAGTGGTCAGCTCATCGTCTCCTTTGTTTCTCCTCTTTCGTGTTAACTAGGTTTCCTTCACTATCTCTCATTGGTTTCATCTGTGTTCATCTCTTCCCCATCAGATAGTAACCTGGTTATTTGCAATAGTGTTGTCAAGGGCATCATATAGATGCTAATAAAGCTTTCAGTGGCATTTGTCGTGTTCCAAATATGACACTACATGTAGCTCGGCAACGCTTGCTGAATATAGAGGAGGCTATCGCTATAAGATCGATCAAGCCTAGATTCTGCATTTCGAAAGAACTTTTCCAGGTGTTACTTTTCCCTTGGCCTTTAATAAACTGATAGCCACTTCTGCCTTTTGAATGGTTATCTTTTTGTTCACTATCCTTTCATTGATCTGTATATGTATCATCCCAATATTGACTAATTTAAAAAAGCTTAATCAGTTTTCTTGAAGACCGTAAATTTCACTCCATTTTGAATATGTAATTTCCCCTAACTTGACTTTGTTTCATCCTGTACAAATGTATTTCATAATTGTAGAACCTGAGGAGAACTTATTGGAAAGAATATTCTTCTTTCGGATCGTTACTTTTATCAATATTATAAGAATCTTTAGTTGTTTGAAACCACAACAAACAAATGTAGTGTAGGGGAAGAAGAAGTAATAATTTAGTTCAAGGTTATGGCCTCTGTTAAACAAGTGCTCAAGCAGTTCAAAGAATGATATATATATTAGATGAAAGATAATGAAAATGAGATGCTCTGTCATCGAGGTTAATATGCTTTAATTGGTTTCATACTGGGGCCAACTCTGATAATGAATCATAGTCATTATGAAATGACAATCAATAAATTTAGTCTGTACATAAATGTCGACAACTGCGACAATAACAAGAAGAATTAATTTAAAAGGGATTTTTTTGCAATGGAGAAGAAAATCAAGGCTAAAATTTTGATGAAACAAGAAAATGAATAGATTATTCTTTAGTTTTAGGTTGAACATTGGCTAATTACTGAATGATATGCAAAGCTGACCTGCATGAAACGACTTATTGACTGGTGTAGCTAGGCGTTATGATAGAATATCACTTGCGACATCCCCCTTGAATTTTAAGCTCAGAAACGCAGGCTACTTCATCACTGTGATCACTTCTTGTTTAGGACCAATGTACTTGATGTTACGTTTGATGAACTTATCTGGATGTCCTTTTTCACTTAGAATATCACAGATACACAGTAGTTCTTTCTCCACACACTTCTTGGAACAAATCGACCTTACTCTGAATCCAAAGCACTTGATTATATTACGTTTGTAATTCATTGGTACAAAACTAAGAACGTGTGTACAGCGTGCTTTAGACGTTAGTTTTCTATATATACTTCTCATTATAGAGCTATCTTCTATTCTTGTCATTAGCACATCAAGAAAATGTATAGGATCACTGTTTTTATTTTCGTATATGAAATGAATTGATGGGTGACCGCTGTTAAAATACTTCAGAATAGAGTTAATATATGTACACCTATCAAAGACTAAAAATGTATCATCCATGTATCTATAGTACAACTCCATATTAGCAGTTTGAAAATGTAATTGCCCGTAACTTGAATTGATTTCAAGCTGTACAAATGCATTTTCTAGTCGTAGAACCTGAAGAGAACTTGTTGAAAAGAATATTCGTCGTTCAGATTGTTGTATTCTATCAATATAATGGGAGTCTTTATTTATTTCTACTGTGAAGACTGAAAATATATTGAAGGTGATATGAACCATTACGAGCTGAAGGGATCAAGGTAATAATTAGTCGTTTTTACCATCAGACTTTGCTAGTACTGAGCATTCCGAGTCACCATCTACGTTGACATGCAATACTAACAGATGTCTGATCAAGTGGCACTGAGTCAGGATACAATGGTCCACAATATTCTACTTCTCTGTTATGATTAATAACACTGTGTAAGTATTAAAGCTGGGTAAAATTATCATTTGATACAGTGGCACAATGGCGACAAATAGTTTGACTCTACGACAGTAAACGTCAATCCATATCATCGCTTGCCAATAATTTTACTGAATAATAACAGAGTAGATTTATGTAACTAAAGGCTTTACTTTATTTGGAATTTTTAAAACACTTGTCAGACTATTCGATTGTGAAAACGCTAAACACTTGAATAAACATCTATTGACTATTGATTATAAGCCGTTTCAAGAGAGTTGAGGTTACCAAAACTTCGTAATCATCAAATGAATTCAAAACTAAATTAACAGGCTCATATTTCAAACATTTCCTGTCTATGGACACGTTTGTTTGCTATTTATTATACATGTTGATTCTTAATTTTTCAAGCCTTAAATTTCCAGCTTTTCTCGTCAAGTGAAAACGAATCAAGTTTTAGGCGAATACATTTTCAGAATGGAATATGAGTTAAGAACTGCAAGGAAGTCGATTTCCCTTTTTAAATTTGTCAACATCAAGATGAAATATATACAGATGAAGTATATGATAGATGGTAAAGGAAAAGATGAGAGTGGCCTTTCGTTTGTTGAAGGTCAATGGAGGAATAACATTTGAACGTGTTCCTTCTGAATGCAAAGTCCAGGTTTGATGAATCTGGTTGCGACAGTTTCACTTATTTGAACAATGCAAGAACAAAGAGCTTTGCAGATTAAAATGAGTTCATTTTTTTATGGCCTTCCATCAGCTCATACTCAATAACGCAGTCTCACATCACCTCCAACTGTGTATATAGATTCACATATGCTTGTGGAAGCAAGTACATATGACGGTTCTAAAAAAAGGGCGTCTACTCGATTTTATGAGAATATTCCGAGAAATCTGTGTCTGAATGGTAGCAAGGCTTTTAAGAGTGCAGTCGCCGGGAATCTGATGGAAACAGGACATCAAATATATGTTTCTCACTCCTTCAGGATAATCAATAAACAAAGAACGCCATGTTTATTACAGTTTGCGGAAGCTTTCGCTATCGAACATTTTCAACTCGACATATGCACCCAGAAGGAGACTATAATTAACCTTTCTTTGCCCTGGTAACTATATATCATTTCTGCATGTTTATGTATATAGTCTTCCCTTTTCTTTTGATTGAATCATTTCTTCATTATTTATTTACTGATTATTATTCACTCAGCGATTTCCCAGTTTTTCATGTAACTACGTCACCACCTATTAGCTTTTAAACAGTCCCTTCTTTTACACTGATTTTCGCTTCTTCTTCCACCATTCCAAAGCTCCAGAATTTTCTATCTCATCACAAATAAATACCCATTGATTTTAACTAAAATTTGTAACTATTAAACGTGGGTTTCAAATCTCTATTTATTTCTACATATTTAAAGTGTGTCATTCCATCATTACTATTAATACTTTATTTCAACTGTAGGCTATTTGCAGCTAATGAGATAAAATGAGCTGGTTTTATTCTTCAAACGCCTTTAGTCTTTCATTGTTCAAATTTATCAAGTGAGTTAAATGTATGACATTTCTGAAAGGAAGTCTTAGTTATGTTGAATAGGTGTTAGTGATCAACACGTGGTATTGTTTTTAGTACATAATATGTGACAGTGAAAGTTGTGATAGCGTCTATGGGACACTCTGCATTTACTAGGTGCACTAGCATGATTAGGAATTTTCACCACTTTTAACTCACTTTTTTCAAACCAACCTGGTAAATGTTCTGATATCCGAAGACGCGTTTGCCTAATAATATGTCCTGTGTAACTTGTTCCACAGGAACAGTTACATTGATATAAACAGAATGAGGAGCTGAGATTAGTCAGGGTATCCTTCAGTTTCCGACTGAGTATTAGATGACAACTGAAAGATATACAAAGAGGATCTAGAGATGTTATTGTCTATTGAACAAGTCTATTCGTGTTTACTACTTTTAAGCAAACAACACTTAGTGAGTATTCTAAATTATACCACAGAAAACAAACAGGATTTAAAACTTAATTTATTTACCTGAAAAGCTTCTAGTTCATTTTTAGCTTGTTTTAGTGCTGTTTCAATAACACGTTGTTTCTTAGTAAACGTTTCTAAATCTTTACGTAATATTTCTAGAGTTTTCTTCTCCTCTGTCATTTCTTCTTCAATATCTAAACGTTTCTCTCTAATTGAACAGGTACGCTCAAAATCCTCCATTGGACATCCAGGTGGACATGTATCTAAATCCATTATATTTACATCTTCAGTACCACTTTCATCCTCTGATTCATCAAAACTTGAATCATCTGATGATGATTCTTCTTCCGATTCTTCCGAACCTGAAGTTAAATAACGTCATGATTATCATGTATGCATAACAGAAGGTAAATCACTTAATCTAAGAGTTTGTGAAGATTTATTGGTATCCATCACAGAATTACATCAGTTAGAGAAACATCGAGAACCTGGGAGGACTGAAGAGGTGTTTTGGTCCCTGGATAGGATACCTCAACAACACGCACTAATGCTCCAGACAGGGATTTAATTCAGGATCTTCATTAGTGACTTACTTCGAGATGAGATTACTTGAAGTTCTAATAAAAAATCATTGCTGCTGGGGATGTGAGAATAAATAATCAACGATGGCGTGAATGAAGGGTGTACTATACCACGAACTGATAGAAGTAGGAAAATGTGGACTTATGGATTCTGACTGAGTGACTCCATAGTAATGTTTTTACCACAAAACCTGAAGCTCCTGGGTTGAGTTTTTGATGGGGTTACGAGTATGTACTGGTAGAGAGTCACATACGTCAACGAAACGGCTGTTCAGTGCCCCCAGCTTTTCAATGCTTCTGCAACTGATGTCAGTTCATGATGAATACTAATTTGAAATCAATAGATCCTGGAAAACCTTAAAAATGAATGATGTAAAAGTGGATGTTGTCTACGATTTGCATAATACACGATGTCCTATGAGCTGTTGCAGCTGTCTGATCATAAGTTGTATGCACTCGAAAAGAACTTTCCAAATACAACTGTTTGTTCCGAACGAATAACTCATCACAAGAAATCTATCTGTTAACATGGTCTTATCAAATCAGTCCTGGAAAAGAAAATAACTGGAATTTTCAAGCTTGGATGATATAACACCTTGGTGCCTAAAGTAATGCTTACAGCATCTTCGTTTCAAAAGGAACACTTATAAAAGTGCATCCAAATATAAAATGAGTTACATAGCAAAGTTCATTACAAACCACCAACTACTGCTCAATGACTGCCCTTCATTTTTAAAATATATCAGAACTAAAACAAAAAGGAGAAGTAGGAATGTGTGAGTAGTGATCACCATAAGATTAACAATGAATTATAGGTATCTACTGTGTTGTCATATAGGGGAGGAGAGTCAGTAACCATACTTGGGGTTTTAATAACGCCTAAGTTAGTATTCTCTTACAATCAAACTCTTCTATTATTTTAAGGATACCATTGACCCCATTGAGCAAGATAGCCTAATCTATCAAATAATGTTCAATGGTTTCGAAGTTTAGCACATATAGCAAGGCGGCCGATCAGATTATCATGACACAGGAACTTGACTAAAGTTAGAATGATAGACACCATGAAAATAAGTAATCTAACAAGACGCTCAAACAGTGTTTTCATGGGCCGATGTACTCTCGAACAATAGGATGGTATAAAGTAAATGGTCCTAAAGACTAATACACTTAGATGAAGAAGGGGAAAACGGTTCAGTGAAACTTTTTTCAGCAAACCAAGACCTAAAAGAAGCAACAGGAATGAGTTAACGCATCTCTCGGTTGTATATGGAAGGTTCCATCATTAGTTTAAACCGAAGGATGAAAATCTACAGAAGTATCAGAACCAGGCTAAAAATTTGTTTGATCACCATAAAATGACGATTAGCAACGAACGTCACCTGAAGTGTCATCCAGTAAGTATTGATTGATAAAAGTGAGTTATATCAAATAAATTAACGTAAAATACGATTGCTCTTTCAACTGTCTGATATAAGCATGGTTCGGTTAATAAGAACCAGAGACTGGATGATAACTGAAGCTGAAAAGGAAATCTGAACCTTGGCAGAATTTGAACTTAAAACCAATAAATCCCCACAAACCTCGAAAGTGAGTTATTTTCTTGCCTAGATTATCAGATATGTGCCTAGTCAAATATGAGATGATCAATGAATTAGATCAAGACAACTCATGAGCAACTAACCAAACTTCTGTAATCAACCAATCAATGGAAAAAGAATATCCCTCTGCAGTAAAAAGTAACCAATCAGCAGTAGTGAAGAACACCTAGTTGGAGTAAACCAATTAATCAACGTCAAGCGTCCTCTGTCAATGTGGACGAGTCAATCAATCAGATGGAGACAGCTTTCATCCATTCATTCAAACCGAAGGGCGGACTTATAAAGACCAAGCGACATCAACGTACTACAAACAAGCAAAAGAAAATTAAGCAGTTATATAGTTGCACATTCTTCTAAGGTGGGAAGTTGGCCAATCATGTTTAGTATACGCCCAAGCACTCACCAACACCAATAAGATTGCACCCAGTCAAAGTGGCATGATATAAATATCCATGCACAACCAATTACTTCACTTCCTTGTGAATCTCTGATGTAATGATGTTGGTGTTCAGCATAAAATGTTTAAATACTTACCAACTAAAGCTGTGGCTCAGAGAAAAACTCACTCTGAATGAATAACATTCGTTAAAGTGCTCTTCGATGGGAAGTCACCTAGCTTAACAGCCACATAGTGAAAAGATGCATTGAATTCGGTTGGCACTTAGAACTAGACAGCATAGAATTAGTTACTCTCTGATTACGAAACAATGTATCCAGTCCAGCCCGACAGGACGTGAATCATGGACCGAACAGCTGAGTGGTAACATCTCTTACTACAGAACTGGTTGATGTGAGTACGAATCTCAGAAGGGACATCATTTCCTTCGAGACTGAGGATACACCTTGCTGATGAGTACCAGGAAGCACAAAACCTGGATCAAACAGGGTATCCTACCGATCGCCCTAAAGCAAATAACATTTTACTTATGTTTATCCATACAGTACCGTTTATTGAATAGACTTCAAAATTCTTGGAATACAATTCTGAAGTTCGTGTACATGCCATCTACTAATCTTAGATGTTATCGCCTGTATTTTGTAAGCAAACGATTCTTAACCTCATGAATGATTGACCAAATGTTTACTTAGCCATTGATTAAGGTTCACTGTTGAATGTATCAGTGTACTAACTCTTTTCTACGGAAAGTATATCGATTCAAATGAACCTCAGTGCAGTCAACTTTAAGGAAGACTAATGAGGTGGAAGATAGCAAGACAGCCTTTTTTACCAGTGGATCAATGACTGTAAATGCATAAAACATGTTGGTTTATTCTTTAACATTTTCTAAAAAAATTGCTGTAAGAAATGACGAACTACAGAACAGCTAACAGGTCACGTTTATAGATATTCACTCTTATATGCTAGACATTTCTACATATATCAGGAAGCGATGTTAAGGTATAGAAGGTAAATGGTTGAGGTAAAGCTATAGTTTCTAAGGTCTCATAATGAAGAATTAAGCAGGAAACCAGTATAAAAAATATTTGGCCAGCTGCTTTCTTCACTTCTAGTGTTGAAATGTGGTAAACTACTACGTGGTTCTAAATTCTTGTTTGTCTGTCACATGCACCAAGGAAGGTGAGTTTTCCTAGTAGAATTGAAAAACCCTGTGGTTTCTGAGTGATCCACTGAGTGACCTCCTGCCTTCTATCGTACTTTCAAACCATTAAATATATAATTCATATCCTCGGAGTACGTACTGACGAAAATAAGAGACAAGACTGACTGAGCGAAGAAATATATATTCCTTTTCAATTAGATCTTCATCTTTGGCTTCATTACCATGGTCGTCGACACCTCTTCACCTTCCTACTTCTATCAATATTCACTTGTTCTCTTATTATTATGTAATCGTTTAGTGTGAATGACTGAACACTCATCAAAAGTCACTCTATTTACTTAAGAGTAGTTTGGTTTATATTTCCAATTTTAGTAACTCTATTGATTATTTCCGAAACATTACCACGTGATTGGTAATTTGATTAAATTGTAAAACTATATATTAGTGTAGAGCCCAGGATGAAAACCTAATTGAAAAGGAATATATTTCTTTACTCAATCAGTCTTTTTTCTAAATGTCTAAATGGAAATATTCAATATATTGAAATAAGAAATTATTTCCATATTAGTAAGGCAGCTTTTATCACAAAGTGATATCAGCTGTAGAATCATTTTTAAAACTAGGACTATAGGACAAATGTTTTGTTTTAACATAGGATGGAAAGCGGATGCACTTGTTGGTTTTATGATACTTTATAATTGAATTCTTGATCAGTAAAGATAAACAGCTGAATTTTAACTTTCTTAAATTGAACATTAAAACATTCACGCTTAAGTTTAGCTTTTTAAACTTTATCTGTCAACTTTCGATAAATGTGATAATAATAATAATAATAATAACGCATTGATCAGTAAAGCAAGTTTCATTTATTTTGCCTATATAGCCCTAAATACCAACAGAAATCATCTTATTTTATGTAACAAACAAAGAAGTAGAATTTGTAAAGCATCAGTCATCCAAATAACACATTCCCTTCACTTTGGTCATTTCAAGAACAATATGATTTTTTAAGTCCACTGTTTTACTCATCAGTTTAACTTGTTTTTATTGTCCTAAGGTTAGTTATATAACCACTAAATAATGAGTAGTCTAGTTATATGAGTTCCTGTTGAAGTAACTAAAAACTTAAGTAAGACCTAGTCAGTAACCGATGTTCCTAGGCTCTATTAGTAAATCCCTGAATAAGTAGCCCAGAGGTCACTGGTTCCAATCCTATCGCAGTTTAAATCTTTATTTTACCTTTATTTATTATCCAGTATCAAAAACGCTTTTCAAAAAAAGTAATATAATCAACATAAATAAATACTTACCTGAATGAAAAACTTCTTGTTTTTTTCGTTTAATACGTTTTTTAAATACTTTTGTAAGGAATTCAGCAAATTTATGTGAATCACCTAAACTTGCTTTAAACTCTTCGTGTATTTGATGTTCACGTTGAGTAAGACGTTCTAATTCTTTCCTCTTTTGTTCAATTTTAAAAGTTACTTCATTCACCTATTCATAATAATAGAAATGATTTTATTGTTATTAGAAATATCCAATGTGAAAAGCCACAAAAAAAAATAATGGATAAACTCAAGATTTTATTAGTTAAGACTAAGAAATAAATTTTGAAAACTTAGATCTTTAATGAATCCATTGACTGAATAATAAAATCAGTGTTGCACAGAAGTGCATCGGGTTAAGTCACTACACTTTACAGCAGTATACAAAGATTAGGTGGATCGACAGTGACTTCTATCAACGATGATAAAGTTATTTGAGATAATGACCGATCTGGAATACATCAAGCATACAACAAGTAGTAAATGAAAGGAAGGAGAAATAAGAAATTACTGAATTCAGTATAAGGATCATGATGAAGATAATGTATGAATATATCAGGACCAATGAGATCAATTCTGAACTATGTCACCCAGAGTTTAAAAACGACTGATTTTTGTAGTCATGCTGACCCCAACCGGCTAGTCTGCATCCCCCTACAGGGCTCAGACCAACAATCAAATACTTTATACAGTGATATTGTGTTATAGTCTGGCTGCCCTGAACCTTTTATCCAGCCTAAACCCAGTTCAGCTGACATTGTGCGACAGATTAGACGGTGAATTGACATGTGTGGCGCTAATCACAATAGCGTAGATATGCTCAGTTCATACTTCGTTGTTGTAAAGACTATTTTTTAGTTCAAGAAGATAATTTAGGTAGCCTTGTATTCTTTACGCTAGATATTTTAATAAATAAGTACTCACAGCTATTATCAATACTAACTCCACTATTTTTTTAGTTTGCTTTGATGATATTACACAAATTCGTCATGACAACTAGAAGACATCCAGACCAAAGTTGTTACGAACGTCTTTTTTATTTAAAAAGACCCTGAAGATCCGATTCACAAGCTTCTTGTCAGTCCTTTATTACTAATATTTGACTTATTACTTCGAAGTAAATATTTGCCGATGAAAAGAACTTGATATGTACTATTATTAATTTTCGATACAAAGTTACTTATTTTCATTTCTATAAATTGTTATAAACGGTGAGTACATAGGTTAATGATGGATCGTGGCTAGCAGTGGAATCCAGGATGCGCATTTCGTCCTATTTGGGACTCGTCAGCTGGATGTATCTGCTTACCAGTGAGTGATGTTGTTCCCATCGGGATTCAGACTCGGGAGCGATCGCTTAAAACACCAGCGCGTTATCCACTACATAGTTCACACGTATTATTGCACAAGTTACATTAGTAATGTTATTGCAAAATCATGACTTCTAATTAACCAATACTCAAAGTGGAAAACGCGGGACAAATCAATTCACTTGTTATCTACACAAAAGCATAGAATTGCTTGGTACAGTATGTGCACCAAAAAATGTACCACACAGAAAAAGCATTAAAATACTAAGAAGACACAAAAGTGATTTAGGAGGAAGAAATGGAAAAAAACGAAAAAATAGAAAAGCGATATTAAAGAGGTGGTTCCAGGAATGAATCCAACAAAAAAAACGCAAACACATTTAGACAAGTTAAGGCAAAAGCTGTCATAAAAAGGCATGAGTTCAAAGAAAGTTCCATAACTTGAGCTGCAGCATGAAGACTGTTGGTTTTGATTCTGAGTCAAATTGGCTCTCATCTCAAAACAATTGAGTCATTTTTGTGATACACCCATTAACAGAGGCTAGTCAAGTACAACTCTTCTTCATCCTATAGCTAAGTGAACAATTAGTAAAAAGAGGTCGTAATGAAAATCAACACTTTAAGTCATCAGCTATTTCATGTCTCTGTGCAGTCAGGAAAAACTTTATTGGACAATTTGTCCTACAGGTTGACCAATCAACATAGGTCATTTAACTTTTGACATAGGAGTTTTATATTTTCATGAAAACTATATATAAATAATGTGTTTTTGTTGAACAAAGTGTTTCTCTTACAGTCACATGCCAGTCTTTTCCTTTGCGATTTGAGTGGGTGAGTTAGGTAAAGGTACTGAGGGAGAGTGGTTAAAATCCCTAGCCAGTCAATATATCTTGTTATGGAGTGAGAGAACATCCTCTAGACTCCTCAAAGTAACCTGGAATCCCCTGAAACGTCTTTACAAACAATCACAGAGTTTTGGAATTTCGCAAAAAACTATATGATCATACGTGTTCCCTTGAATGGCTTTCTATAAAAAGTGTATAACATACTGCAACCACCGAAAATATATATAAACTGTCGCCTTCAGTACATGTTCGACTTGAAAATAAACCTTCCATTGGTTTTGTCGCTTCTTTCTGTTTTCTAGGGATCAAGCAACCCTCAAGAGAGAAGCCTGAGGTTATTGTTCAGGAGTCCACCTGTATAAATAAACCAAAAGAACATATCAACTGGTGACAGAAAGTATGGCAAGTATTCCTTTTGATGACATTCAGTTATTGATGGGGGGACAAGAGAAAAGTATTGAGGAGATAACTGTACATGGTGATAATGAGCTTCCTAGCTTAGTGGCCACATAGCAAAAATGATGGATAGAATTCAGTCAGCACTGTGGACCTAGATAACATGAAATTAGTTGCTCTTCAGTGAAAAAAAACAACATGCAACACATTTAAAATGATTTAAAAAGATACAATTTCAATCTAACCTTGTGACATATTTCTTGTTTTTCTTCTGTTCTATTTTTCTTTTTCTCAGTTAAAATATGTTCAGATTTTTCAAATTCTTTCAGTAAACGAAATTCATGATATAGTGTGAGTTGATGAATTTCAGCTTTTTTCAACATTACATCTAGCTTAAAACGTGTATGTCGCAGTAGACGAACTTCTGCATCAAAACAACGAACAAGTCGACTAGCTGTAGTCAACAGCATATCTCTTTGATATATAGCTCTAATATACTTTTGTTTTTGTTGTTCAACTTCTAAACATGTCAATGGTGAAGTATTGTAATTACGATTACTTCGACTGAGAACAATATTTTCACTAAAATAACAAGTAGAATTATTGAAGTTAGTGAAAGAAAATATATTTCTATATGTATTTTTAAAACTGCTTAGTAACTAAAACGTGATAATTTGACTTTTTGCTGAAGAAATCGTTAAATGTGTAGTAAAACACTGAAAAATGTTATCTAAAATAATATGATGATAAATTTACAAATGACTTACATACTGCATGGATCACGTTCATATCTCTAACAGTTAAAGTGATCTTCCAGTTACCGAGCTAAGGTGTCGAAAGGGTTTCATTTGGAAGCCATCTACCAGCCAAAAAGATAAAGTGTAATTTCTGACACCAAAATGTCATGAACTTGTGAAATATACTGCTGAAAACCACTTAAGCTGATTTGTAAATCTCATCGGCCAGTTCTGAGTGGTCTAAACACTGGACCGCAGTTTCTTTCTTTTGGGTTCAAGCTAACCCTTATCTGGTTGCTGAAATCTACAGATTGGTCTGTGTTGTTTTTAACCACTCAAGTTATCCATCAGTATATTTCTCTAGTTCATAGCACTTTGTGTGAGAGATCACACCTTGTGATCTTGCCTACAGGATGGTTTCCAAACTACTCAGCTGTGAGAAATCTTAACGTGAACAGTGGAATATGTAGAGCATTTTCAAAGTGATCATCCTATTTTAGGGATACCAGTCCAAGCAAGTCAGCTAGCTAGATTCACATTTTCTGAACTAACTCGACTGCATAATTTGTCCGGGTACATCTTAGATGAGCTGGATGCCAGACGAACGAAACAGCCATCACTGATCTGGCGGACAATTATCCTGAGTGGCTAGTGGTACAATATACTGAGTCAGTAGACACGCTAAACACAATAATTCATTTTATTAAACAGCTAACGCTTCACTGGCAATCAGCCAAATAGTTCGGAAAAATAATAAACCGGTAAAAAATGGGTTAAACCAGTGAAAAAGCGAATAAAACGTAACGAAATCAAAAAGTAGTCACCATGGTTGCTAGAGATTGGTCACAACTACTCATTATTTGTATGGATAACCTAGCCTAGGAAACTAGGTCACTAGGTACTAGCCGGTCCTAAGCACAGATAAAGAGGGAAGCTCGGGTATACGGCTAGCAACCCTACCCCGAAAAACCAATCCAATCACTAAACAAACTTCAAAGCATAGAGGAAAAAATGTAAAAAAACTACTTCCTAGCTGGACTCGGAGAGACGAAATAACCCGGGTTAGTGAAAGCCCTCGGGAAGCCAATTAGACGATGTGTCTTCTCCTCCCTCGATGAAAGCGAAAGTAAACATAGTGACATAGAAAGTCCGCAAAATGTTTGAAGCTGGCTGGCTGGCAAGGCTGCAAGGTTGCCCAGATTTCAAAAGAGATGAGAAGGTATAGCATAGAAGTGCTTGGAATCTGTGAAGGCAGATGGAATGGAAGTGGACTCTCAAAACTGTCAACTGGAGAGTCAATCATCCACTCCGATATTGTCACTCAGATGACAACCACGGACACACTGAGTTTTCGAGTGGCTATCATGATGTCCCTCTCCCAAGAGCATAGAAGACTCTCACTCATGCAGTGGGAACCAATCCCCTCCTGCACGATCAGCATCATGACGGCAAGATGGATTCAACTGAAATGGCAGCAAAGTCACAATCATACAATGCTACTCTACGCACCTACAAATATTGCTGATCAAGAGAAGATCGAGGAATTCCACAGACAACTGCAATCAGCACTGAATAAGACACCACCACAGATGGCGACATCAAAATCCATTCTAATCGGTGATATGTTTGAATGCCAAACTAGGAGTGGACAACACAGGAAGAGAACCAGTCTTGCGTTGAGAAGCACTTGGTGAAATGAATGAGAATGGAGAACTGTTTGAAGACTTCTGTGCATTCGACGATTTGGTGATTGGAGGTAGTGTGTACAAACACATGGATATTGACAAAACGACATGGATTACACCATTCGACAGATGGCCACACTGCACTGAACATCAGATCGACTTGATGTCAGTGTGAAGAAGGTGGAGACGCAGCCAGCCTACTGGACACAAGATCATATCCGGAAGCGGAGCAGATATAAATTCACACCACTCACTATCTAGTGGAAGAAACCTACTTTCAAAATCAAGTTGAAAGCTACCGAAGAAGCTGATGATGATAGACCACAGTTGAAGTTCATCACCCACCCAGAACAGAAACTGAAATGAAAGAAACTGCGAAGGACATCTTCAAGTTGGTAAGCCATCAGGGCACAATGGGAGATATTGAGCAACACACGTGAAGGAACCTATGTGGAAGAACACTGGGACTGTTTGGAAGAGATGTGGAAGGAAACCTGCACAACCGTGTTAGGAAGGAAGAAGAAAGAAGACGAGACGAGACGAGACGAGACGAGACGAGACGAGATGAGACGAGACAAGGAATGGATCTCGACGGACAGATGGAAGCTGATAGAGGAGGGAGATTGAGATGGTGAAGCAGAAGATGAACTGGTGCAGTGCAGTGCAGTGCGAGGATGAACAAGGAAATGAGGAACTGAATACAGTCTGAACAAAGAAGTGAAGAAGTGTATGCACAAAGACAAAAGACACTTCTACGACACACTGGCAAGTGAAGCAGAACAGGTTGCAGGTAGGAGAGACAGAGACGTGAGAACACTTTATCAAATATCCATGTTACTATCTGATGGGGAAGAGATGAACACAGATTGAACCAATGAGAGATAGTGAAGGAAACCTAGTTAACACGAAAGAGGAGAAACAAAGGAGACAATGGGCTGATTACTTCAAAAAACTCTTGTATCGACCACCACCACCAACACCACCATCACACACAACTCGTCCAGAAATACCACCAGCTGCCCAGCCACAGAACTATCGGTGAATACGAGACCACCGACAAAAGCACGAGTGAAATCCTTAACTCCATGAAGTTGATGAAATCTGGTGAAGCAGCAGGATCAGATAGAATTCTTCCTGGAGCACTGAAAACAGACACAGAGACAGCAGCAGCCGACATGCTCACACCACGACTGCAGAAGGTTTGGAAGGAAGAGAGGAAGGAAGAAAGGGTAACTACCGATTGATTCGAAGACAGCCCACGTTGTCTAACTCCAAAAGAATGGAGACCTAAATCTTTGCAACAACTAACACGGAATCATGATCCACCTCAGTCCACCCAAATCAAACAAAATATTATGCCGCATCATCCTGGAGAGCCTAGAAGATGAGCTGGGTTCAAAATTACGATGGGAACAGGATGGTTGGCTGGCATCAGGAAGAACAAATCAAGTGCGCATCAAACTGTAACGCTACGCTAAGCATCATCATATTCATAGAACAGAGTATAGAATGGCAGTCAACTCAACTCCAAATCAATTTCATCCACTTTGAAAAGGCTTTCGATCGAGGCGTTGACAGAGAAGTAATCTGGTAAGCGCTTCAACATAACGATTTTAGTGCCACGAGCCCCAATCAGTCTCATCCAGCAGCTATATGAAGACGCCATATGCCAAATGATCCACAATGGAAAGTTCAGTGATGCCTTTACAGTAGAGACGGGAATAAGACAAGGTTGCTGCCCATTGTCACCAATCATCTTCGTGATTGTAGTGGACTGGACTGAACTGGATCATGCAGCAAACCGTGATGAGCGAGAAGACTATCATATGCTGACTGGACGGATGAGGAGACCCTCGAATATTTGGATTTCGCCAACGATGATGATTTATGTCTGATATCACACAAACTCGAAGATTTACAGGCAAACACCAACAAGTTGACAGAAGAGACGAGGCAGCGAAGACAGGACACCATTCAAGAGAAGACGGAGGTGATGAAGATACCCAACCAACAACATCAACACCAGCAACAAACAGCAGTCACCATGAACGTGAGAAACATTAAGGAAGTTGTCTTTTTCACCTACCTACCTCTATACGTAGGCAGCATCCTCTCAACTACAGGTGATGGCGGCGGCACAGATGAGGACGTCGAAGTCAGGATCGGATAAACAGCTAGACTGGCCTTCTTTCATTAATGTGAACCAGATTCGGATTTTCAACACTTATGTCATTCAAGCCAATGCTTCTATGTAATGGTTGAAAGAAGACTTGTTACAAAAAGCATTTCCAACAAACTACAGACACACATCATCAACAGCTGCCGCCTACGCTCGCTCACTGGACACTGAAGATTAGATGGCCAGAAGGAATAAGCAGCATATAACTCACTCTAGCGTGGCAACGAACCAACCAAGAACCTATCGCCCAACAAATATGTAGAAGAAAGTGGAGATGGGTTGAATTGGATTGAATTAGATTGGATTGGACATACACTGAGAAGGCCGATTGAAGACATCATGCGCTAGGTCAGGACGGTGAGTGGAACCCAAAGGGGGATCGACGAGTTGGACGTCCGATGAGTTGGTGATATGGTGGAGATGGTATGTGAGGAAGAAATGGAAGGTTGTGGGCAGTGATGGAGCTAGGTTGAAAAAGCAGCAGAGAACAGAGTACAACAGAGACGTGCAACTGAAACCTTACATTCCACTAGGAACCCAAGGGACAAATAATAATAAACAGTAACTTGTATGGATAAGCCTTGATGGGAAAGTTTCACCTTTGTTGTTTGATACCTGTAATTTTCCATTTCCATAGTGCGTCGAATTCCGCAAACTCTGTTGCCAGATGAACTCCTATGAAAACGACTCATTACTGGATGAAAATTCCATATTTTGTAGTTTATTTGGTGGTTTGCAGTGCAATCCAGGACACATGTTTCGTCCCACTTCGGGCTCATTGGCTGATATACCTGTACCTCAGTGAGTGATGTTGCTACCATTGATACTTGCGTGGAGTACCTAGCCCTTTAAACACCAAAGCTCTTAAGCCACGAGAGCCAGCTCTTATGCAACGAGTATCACATTTTGTTTATTGCTAGTTGTAATTTACCGTTTTCACATAAGTCACTGGTAGCAAGAAAAGTAGTACACGCATGTTTCGTACGTTTACCGTTTTAGAAGCAAAAGATGCATTCAATTAATATCTTGTATCCCTAAGGTTGGAAAACTGTATGGAAGGTCTCCTCTAAGTCGTTATAATGTAGTTGTAATCTTAGACTGTTATACAGCTGAAGAATATTCCTTCGATGTAATGATATCACTTTGCTTAGAAAATTCAGTTATTCTCATTTCATTCACGTTTATTAGTGGAACTAAGTGTATGAAATCATCCCTGAATTCAGCATGCCAATAATTATATTGAATACTGTTAAATCAGTTCAGCGTACTCAAAAAGGGAGCATAAACTGATGAGTCAGTACACTTGTATCACTAGTAGTCTTTATTACTCAATTGGATCCTAACACTCATTCAAACATCAAAGATTTTGTGGATAAAATTGACAATTTAATATGTGGAGTTTAAAATCTAACAGTCTGGCAACGTATTAAATTCTCTATTGAAAAGTATGCATTTTTTTTGTAGTACAGTATTGTAAAATGAGGGTTGAAGTAGTAAATTATTTGTGAAAATATAAACCTCAAGGTATGTAAATTCTGGGTCTTCATTACGCCATGAAGAATGCATTTGACATACTGTCTGAAACAAATCAACACCGCGTAGCTGTACAGACTATATTTAACGATAAAAACTGTGTCAATACATTCGACAGTAGGAGTAAGAAAAATGTATATATGTAATTAATACGGAGAACGTATAAGACAAATGTAATGGGAAGTAAAATGATTGATTGCAAAAGATGAAGAGACTGTAATTACAACAGCTGAGGCAAAGAGATAGTCATAACGACCATTTATTACTAGATCCTTAAGCCGACAAGCTCATCTGTGAGTGAGTTTGTAGGTTTGAATGGTTTACTGAGGATATTTTTGATGTACCTCCATTATAGGGTAACACAATGTAGGCTTTGAACTCTTCTACTCATGTTACTGTTATTATTTCGTTTCTTATATGATCATACAAATTTCTTAATAAACTGTAAAGGATAATTATTGACTATAACCGCTTCCTTTTATGTACTTCAGTTCCTTGTTTAGGTCCTTGCACTAACTAGCCAATTAGTTCATGGGTGATAATAAGAAAACTTACTTTGAATTTGTATCCTTTTCAATTAGATTAGATGATAGGCCTTTCCGTGCATCAATTAATTCACTTTCATCCACCAATTCATTGATATCTTTTGTAGTGAGACATGAATTAACTTTATCAGGTCTAAATGGTTGGTAGATTGAAATTTTAACAAAATTATTAATGTCTTGAATTTGTTCTCTTTGATCTATCTGTTGTGTTTCTGTTGTTGTACTACCAAATGGCTGGCTTATTGAAATCTCATTAAATTTATTATCTTGACGTAAATTTATGTTTGGAAGTATTTGATATGAATTGTTCGTTAGTAGAATTTCATAATGCTTTAAGGTTAAATAATGCAATGGAAACCAGATAGTTGTTCGCATTCCATTAATATTCTCACTGAATTCACTAGTGATGGTTGGTTCACCTCGACTGTATCTTTCTGCGGGTAATATAGACTCAGTATATGATAGTGGTTTTGACAAAGGCTTCTGGATTGAGAAAGAAAAGTAGGGCTGCTAAACGTTTGCTTTAGTAAACACACACACACACACACATCAACATCAAAAGCTTCGTAAAGAAAGTGCTTTTGGTTAGTACTTCTTAAGAATTAAAATCGTGGGGGTTGATGTCTTTTTTCGTGAAGTATCTGAAAAAGAAAACGCGTGAATTTTACGCCATCAAAGAGTCTCAAGCATATCTGCTGCAGGGTGACGATATAGTTCCTTACAAGAAAATTTCGAATTCGAAACTGTGTTTCGCCCGGCCTACGAAACCCATACCGTCGGCATCAGAAAATTGTAGGACGGACAGGATTGTAATATTCTTGGAGTTGATGATTTCTAACCTGTCCTTCTGGTAAGGAAATTAGCGTGAACATAGAATACTGGTCATTGGTAGGAAATACCTCATTGCTGTAACACCATGTACAACCAGTAGTAAAACTTCACCATCCATCCCTATCATATCATAAATGATTTACATCGGTATACTGGTTGCTTTTAATCTTACCACTATTCAACAAACCTTCCAGGCATCATAGATTCCCAAGAAGCAATCTTCTTAACCAGCATAGCTTAACTATTTGTTGCAAAATGCAAGCACGACTATCACATAAAGGCACCAGCTGTCGATTGGAGTTGAGAGGAGTGGGAAGACAAAATGGCCTTTCCAAGTAAGTCTGAGTTTAACGTTTTGAAACATAACTTTTGGTGCTTGATCCTTTTACTAGTTATGATACTTACACTAATTTTTAACGAAATGTCAGGAGTTAACAGTGGGAGCTCCCATGTGACATGGTTTGAAAGTAATGTCAATTACATGGTTAGTTTAAAGTTTGACGCTTCTCACTATTTCTTCTCTCTCTCTCCACGTTTGTTTCCCTTTTTATTTTATTACACCATTCTTCCATTTTGGCTAACTTCCTATTACTTCACTGTTTTTGAGTCAGCAACATATAGCACTGCACCTTCAAATGAGGCTCTGAATTCGTTGTCTCTCTGCCCGTCTATCCGTTAATGCACTTATCCTGAAGTTATCTAGATATTTTATCAACGAATCCAGAGTAAATATTTATCTCATCAAGGGTCATCTCTTGATAGAAAAAAGGATTAGGAAACTGTCATACTTGACTTCGAATCTGTCAAATTTCACAAAATAAAAAGTAGGCTACCAGCTGATTCGTTTGATTCCACCTGATGTAAAAAAGAAAAAAGGAGCTGTGCAATAAAGGTCGTCCGTTTAATGAGACGTAAAGAAATTTCATATTTATATTGGTTGCTCTCCAGTGAGCAATCAATGTATCTAATTCAGTCCTACAACAGATCAATAGAGGTTCGAACAGCTCGGTTTCTTCTCGCTAACTAAAACGCTGGGTGACGAGGGTTCGAGCCAAACAGGGTACATCAATCCCCTTAAGGTTGCAGATATGCCAACTAGTACTAAAAAGGAATTAATGTTTTTCTAACATTTAACCACCCTAAAGATCTGCTTGAAACGTTCTTCAATTAAAAATAGATAAAGATAACTACATATTGAGAAGAATGTCTTTGTTTGAGATCAGACGTGGAAAACAGACCAATGAAAGTTACTTAGTGAAAGATGTTGTGAAATTTTATTTTCTCTTTCTTATCCAAACATTCTTACTTGTCATCACCTAATAGTTTCAAATCACTGAGTCGAATAGCCAGCTGCAAAAGTTGTGCGGATATCCGTGCCCCTATGCTTACTTTTGCTTTCATCAAGAGAATGAAAACACATCGACCAATTGGCTTCCTGCGGGCTTTCACAAACCGGCGTCATTTCGTCTCTCCAATTCCAGCTAGGAATAAGTTTGTTTTTATTTTTTATATTTTGTTTGTGCTTTGAAGTTTGTTTAGTGATCAGAATGGTTTTACGGGGTAGGGTTGCTAGCCCTATATCCGAGCTTCATTCTTTATCCGGGCTTAGGACCTGCTGGTAAACTAGTGAACTAGTTAACTAAGCGAGGTTCCTGTCTATCCCTGCACACACACAGTTCACTCACACACTACTGAGAATATATAAACTCTCTGAGATTTTTTTGATAAGCCTGTTATTCTCCGTTGTTTTGTTGGATCGAATTGTTTGACCCCAATTGGTAAATGGGCTCCTATGCGGAAGCCTCGATACTGCCTGTATGTTAATTTGGTTGGTTGTGGCTGGCAGAGGAATCTAGAACGCGCGCTTTGTCCTATTTGGGACTCACCAGCTGGATGTACCTGCACCCCAGTGAGTGATGTTTTTCTCCACCGAGACTCGAACCTCGTACCCATCGCTTCAGACTCCTAGGTGTTATTCACTACTCCAGGGAGGCACAAGTCATAACCAATCAAATTTGCGAGATTTTGTTAAAAGATAAGAAATGTAGAGAAAAACTTGGCTATCATATTGACCCATAATCACACTATGGGATGAGTAGGATAGGGTGACGCTTCTCAAATCCAATATAGCTAGGTGAGGAGGGGAAATGATTACAGAATCTTCGTTCCTTAAGTCAACACCAAACACATGTAACAGGAATGACTCATCACATATTGCAGATATCTGGAAAATTTTACTACCATTAAAATGACAGGATGAAAGAAGGGTTGGACCATATCAGTAAAGTTTGAGGGTCATACGGTTACTTCGATATAAATATATGAGCAATACATTCTTCTGGAAACGTCATCCAGCGAATAATATAGTATCATATCAATCAAATAAACAATCTAATACGGAATTATACACTACCACAGTGACTAAATTGTACTCTAACACTGAAGATTAAAATATCTAAAGAATAAAGGGACATGAGTGAGAAAAATATGACTGAGAGTCTGAATAATGATAAAAAATCAATATATCTACATCAGTGTGATCGATTTTGTGTAGTGTCATCAATAGTTTCCAATCACTAATTTTTACCGCCTGAATGACATCGAACAGTTAACTTACGATTTCATATACGATTTATACTGACAAAACTTTGGTATGTTTGTGACACAGCTTGGTATACTGCAAATTAGGGTTTTTCGAACTTGGTAATCTTTTAGCTATCATGACACGTCAGTATAGACTTATGGCTTGCTATCTATGACAACTTCAAACCATCTTTGTCTCATGAATGAAGAGTTCAATGTTATACATTAAGCACTGTCGTTGTCAATGGTAACCAAGGTTTTTAAATGATTCTTACAAGACATGGTCATTAAAAGTAGAAGATATGAAGCGATTACAGGGTTTTGACATAGGTGTCTCCGTAGTGTTGCTCGCGTTTGATGGAGACGCCGACTTAGCAGTGCTAGGTAAGAAAGGCAAGACGATTGGTGAGGTTGTTATCATATGTTGAGCGTGCCGATTCACTGCCTACCTCGACGTGCTGTGCTACGAGAAGTTGGATCGAATTGGTAAGAAATCCGCGGTGGGCAGAATAAGACATAGTACCAGTCTATGAAGTCTCCGACTGTTGGTTTGAGTCATGTGGAGAGATGCAGGCTGCTTGATTGGTGTCTCCGAGACGATAGGATTGAGTATTTGAGAAATCTTGATGACATGGCTGGAAATCAGTTACAGCGGCACAGATGTATTCACTCCTTGACATCTTCTAGAGCTTGAAAAATTGCAGTAACCTAACCTTTATCCTCAGATTGTTTATTCTTTCATACAAATAAACCTACTTTAATATCAGTCTTTTTCTACCCAATTGTTCTTTGAATACTACTGTGAAGTGTGGCAACTGAAGCTGATGCGCTTGCGCGAAAGGGTCTACTTTGATTTTGTCTGTTTGTCTTATCAGACATACTACGCACAATATTTCTATGCTGAAATCAATCTACTGTAATTTACCTACCTTTAATGTTGTCGGTGCACCAAAGTAACTTTTTTCATTTTGTCTCTTTGATTTTTCCTCTTCTTCTAGTTGGTTTTTAAAACTGAGCAGAATTTCATTGTCGTATGAAAATTTTCTGAAAATTTTGAAAGTGAAGTTAGTTGACAAAGTATTATCATCCATAATGCGTTACTTTGTGTGTGTGTGTGTGTTTGTGTCTGCATTTAATATGCATGAAAGGCAACGTGTTACTTAGGACATGTGACAGGTTACCAAAGTCACCTTAGTTGGTTTCGGTTCAGAAAGTAAAATATACTTTCAACTAGTCGTATGATAACTTCAAAGTAAGTTTTTCTCATTGGTTAATCAGTGGACCATATGTGGATCGGACTTTGATTGACATCTGGGCAAGAGACCGTTACGCTAATCTTTGCATATTAGAATTAATTTCTTAGTTCACGGGCTTGTATGTGACATTTATGATGGTTAGTGACTGGCAGTGGAAATCCGGTTTAAGCGTTCCGTCCCATTTAGGATTTGTCAACTTGATATACTTGCGTTCTAGTGAGTGATGCTGTTCCAGATGAGACTGAAGCTCAGGACTAGTAGCTCTAAACACCAGAGAGTTATCCACTATACTCGTTACACAAGGCGCTTCAATCGGATTTTTGTGGCCGACTGGATAACACCCTGACTCCATACCTAATGGAGACATAGGGTTGAACTGTTGAAGTATCCCATATTAGGATAAAGCGGATGTTTACTTCTCTTGTATTTTCAATGGTTCTGTATTCAATTTGGTTGCAGAATGAAATTCATATTGAAGTTAATCACATTAGTTCTGTCCACTTAATCAGTCAGTCATTAAGGACTGACGGAAGAAAAGACAAATTACAAAGGATTGAACGGTTGACATTCTTAACTATTTTGAATTTAGTTAGTCACAAAAGAAAAGAAATACAGTGTACACTTACTTTTCTGGATTTTCTTCGATATCAAGTTCATCAATGTGTAAACGTATTCCAAATTCTTTTGGTGGTAAATCACAATTCACTTTCGCTAATTGTTCATCAATTTTTTTAAATCACTTAATATTAACATTTTTTTATCACGTAAAGCTAATATTGAAACATTGAATTCATGGCGTAAATTGAACACCTAAAATGTGTAAAACTTGAATATAATATCACTTAATACAAGTTGAAGCTAGATATATACATAAATCGAAGAAAAATTTGTGAATTGCAGCATAGAATATTATATTATAAATAAATTTTGATGATGAGTTTTTTAAATTTTACTGATATTTTGAGTAAAATTACTCCCCGTGATCCCGAAAACATTGTCATTATTTGCTCCTTGCATTTCATCTTTCAGGTTGGTATTAATCATGGGTTAATATCAGTTGCAGAACCACCAAAAACCTGGGAAGCTGTTTCATCCTAGTGTGGGACTCTTCAAAAGTAAACAGATATGATCTAGCCAGGGATGTTTCTTCAACCGATGATAAATACCAGCTTGGAATTAATAAAATAGCCACAAACCTTCAAGTATAATTATTTTCTTCCTGGGTGAAGTAAGAAGGACGAGATTTTCAGAGTAAAATGATATCATTATGTTTCAGGAATTGAGAATATACCAAGCGATCTAACTGAATGTCTGGCTGACCGACTGACAAAATCATCGTTGAACCTCGCACACAAATGCAACTGCTCCAGTTGCCACACGTCATAGTAGTACAGGAAAAGTAATTTCAAGTAGATAAAGTATTTATATTATTATTTGTCCCTTGGGTTCCTAGTAGAACATACGGCTTCAGAAGCACTTCTACATTCCACTCTCTTCTCTGCAATCTTTTCAACCTGTCTCCACGACTACCAAGAAGCTCTCATTTCTTTCTCACACGATCTCCTCCATGTTAGCCTCGCCTCGGATATCCAACTCGCCGTTTCCCATCTGGGTTCCACTCGAGTGCCTGAACTGGCACGTGATGTCCCCGAATGGTTTTCTCAGTGTATGCTCAATCTATCTCCACTTCCTTCTGCATATTTATTGAGCGATAGGTTCTTGGTTAGTTCGTCGCCAGCCAGAGTTCCTTGTTGCTTGTTTTTCTGGCCATCCGAGCTTCAGTATCGAGCCAAAGTAGGCAGTTGTTGATGAATATCTGTAGTTTGTTGGAATTGCTTTTCGCAACGTGCCAAGTTTCTGAACTATATAGAAGCAGGTGGGCTGAGTATTAATTCAGAAATACTCCAGAATAACTTAATTTTTTGAATTGCCATATACTGTTCTTTTGATTTTACAGTCCAACATTGACCGTTCCCACATTTCATTCTCTATACATACATAGATGATTCTTTTGTTATTTGCGACGAGAATACGAATCTCTAAAATCTCCTTTAGACTTCCAATAGTGCTCATCCCTTTATCATATTCACTCTAGAAGAAGAACTAAACTTGAAGTGCCACTTATTTGACGTACAATTTCAAAGATAAGATCACAATTCAGCGCAGAAATCTGTTTACAGAAAGCCCATTTCAAGCAGGCAGTTTATTAATTTTTATAGCTGTCCCCTTAAACACAAAGTGGAATCTTATGAATTTACTCTCTTCAAGAATATGAAGAATATGCGAAGAGGATACCATCCAAGGAATTTAAGAGGAATCCTGATGAAAAGTGGATACCTACTGAAATTTAGGTAAGAATCGAAGGCCGAAAAACGCTACGGAACGCGCACATACTGCTGAACCTCTAATTCAAGGGAGATAATGTAGCAGATACACTTAGAAAGCGACCATCATGGTTTATGAACAGAATATTCTTTGCCACCAATATTAGAACTACACTCTTATATCGTAAGCTCATTCATCGGTATGCAAAGGATAAACGGGAGCAATGGGGGGCATCAATCTTTGTGTATCAGTTTACTTGCTGCTGTGGAGCCGAGTACATTGATTGCAGCATGTATCAGCTTATGCAATGCACTCGCGAACATTATCTAACTTGGCTGACAAGAGGAGCTCTGCAACAGAACACTTAGTAAACTAAAGATACTTAGATCCCTTCGATAAGTCCTTCGAAACTCTGTACAAAATACTATCAAGCCACTTAAAATGAGTGAGGCTAGGACATTTGGGCATAGCTGAAGTATTAACGATTCAAAAGTTCAAACTATCACTACGCCTTCAAAAGAAGAATGTACAACCTCCTTGGTAGATTATCGATCACTTTAGATAATATACTTATGACGTAACTATTTTTATTTCGCAATCATTTTTTTTATTTCCGTACCACATAACTTTCCTTTTTGATGCAATTTATGTTGACCTTTGACCAAAAATTACTCTAAGATGTTCTATCCTTTTTACTGTATATTCACGAATGTACAGATAAGAGGATCATTTCGTCAGAAACATTTTTCTTCGCTGTAATCCCCTTCTGTGTTTTTGTATTCAAATGAGATTGTTTTGTTATCGTGAATTATATTGACTTCGCCTGACTGTTTACAAGTAAATGAAGTCTTTCTACATCCATCTTATTTATTATAACTTGAGTATCATCAACACATATCCACTAACTTCTAATCGATGGTATGAATAGTTTAAGAGTACTTTCTATCCAAAAGTTCATTTGTTATCTACTGTTACTTGTAAGATAGGTGACCACATAACTGTTCCATCTTTTTGACTCTATCAAATGTTAAAAACGTCATTATTAGTCAGAGTCCTACTCCATTCAATATGTCTTCCATTGAGAGTTATTTTCTCTCTCTTTTAAACCGTCATATTTTTCTAGTATTATGTTCAACGCTTTCAAAGCCGTTTGCATTAGGGTTTTTGTGTGTTAGTCACTGATACCAAAGTAACTAATATTTCTTCCTTATTGATTATGGTATCTTTAAGTTATTGATCTAAATTAAATGAGCTTACTAACTTCATCTGTGAAGCGTCTCTCGTAGTTGATCGTAGCAAACAAACAAACAAATTCGATAACTTAAATGTTGACTAAAAGGAAAAGATGGAAGTCGCTCTATATCGTGAACCGACAAAAGTAGGATATATAGATGACTAGATGCTGACCCAGTAGCTCAGTAGTAAGGTGCTGGTCGTGGAACTTGAAGATCCTGAGTTCGATCCTATTCTGGCAGGGTCATGGGTACACACTGTTTAGCAGCTCCATACTAGGATTGAACGGAGTTTCAATGCTCTCAGGTTTCTAATGGTTCTCCGCATGATATCAGTCCATGATTGATATAAACTAGCAAAAAAAGATTATAAATGTGATAGTGCTAGTTAAATGTGTGATCATGGGAAATATTTTACTTGAAATATTACCACAATAAAAAAATGTGTCACCGTAACGATGCACAGTGGCTAGCAGAGAGATATGAGATGAGGGTTTTGTCCTAATTAGGACTTGCCAACTGAATGAACCTGTCTCGCAGTGAGTAATGTTGTTCCCACTAAGACTCGAAGGCAGAATCGATCACTCCAAATATCATCGTGTTTAAACTTGCCTTTAAAAGTTTGTTTGCAATACATTAGTTAAGGCTATCAACACTGAAAATACTATTACTGAGAACTAATGGATTCAAAGTGTTAGCTGTAACAGATAGATGGATTCCTTAACCAAATAAACATTCATACTACTTTCAAGTCTATTATTTCATATGTTGATGATTTGAGTTAAATTTTGATGAGTTCACAGATAGCTTGCTGATAAGTACCCACATACACGGAACCAAGGTCAAGCAGGGCTTGCTTATGCTTGCCTCCAACCAATCGATACCCCTCAAAGTGTACTGCGATGATGTCTCCTAGCTTGACGGCCAAAATATGATATGATGCATAGAATTCGGTCAGGACTGAGGACTAGACAACAGGAAATTGGTTGTTCTCCAGTGACTAATGCCTCCAAATTAACTAACAACAGGTTTCCTGTGCCTAGTATAACCATTTTTACGTTGTGCATTTCATTTTTCATTTCTCTAATATGAACATGAGCAATTAATTCTAGTCGAAACGTCATCCATTAAAAGAATACTGTACCATATCAAAAAATAGTCTGATGGGGAATTATGCTGTATCACAGTGTCCAAGTTGTATCCTTAGATTTTCCTATTTTACTTAAATCCTAAATATAAAGACAAGGTTGATATTTCATAGTTTCAAAAACCTAAGACGGTGAATAAATACCACTCACTTATTTTAGCAATTTCATTTTCCAATGAACGAAAAGTTATGCTAAACCGTAAGGATTCCATGTCACCAAATTCTTAAAAAAGGTGGCAACCAGAGGTAGTGTGTTCAGTGAGATGACTATGTGAATCACAGATAGCAGTATGCATTCACATATGAGCGTACGATTCTTATAGAATCTGTGTCAGTTAGCCTGAAACCAAACCAAGGTATGTTTTGTGGCCTGATTACTAATTAGACAATTTTGATCCGACATTATATGAAGAGATTCTGCTATGAGATCATCCTTATACTTTCAAAAGCCTTTATAAATACGACCGAGTGATAGTAACGCGTCACGAATTCACATGATAGTCGGGTAAAAGCCTTGGTGATTGAAATGAAGTAAAAATCTGTCAGTAGTCAGACCTCGCCTGGTTAACTAGTTCACTAATTACTATCCGGTTCTAAGCCCAGATAAAGAGGGAAGCTCGGGTATAGGGCTAGCAACCCTACCCGTAAAACTAATCCAGTCGCTGAAGAAACTTCAAAGCATAAAGAAATTATAAAAAAGTGGAGATGGATTGGACATACACTGAGAAGGCCGATTGGGGACATCATGCTCCAGGTCAGGACCGTGAGTGGAATCCAAAGGGGGAACGACGAGTTGAGCGTCCGATGAGTGGGTGATATGGAGGAGATGGTATGTGAAGAAGAAATGAAAGGTTGTGGGCAGTGGTGGAGCTAGGTTCAAAAAGCAGCAGAGAACAGAGTGCAACAGAGACGTGCAACTGAAACCTTATATTCCACTAGGAACCCAAGGGACAAATAATGATAATAATGGTCGGACCTCGTAGCTCAGTTGGTAGAGCATGAGGCTGAAAACCTGGTGGTCGCTGGTCTGAATGCTGCCATGGTGCAAATTTTCATTTTGCCTTCAATCATCACCCAGTATATTTCATTCAGTCCTGATTAATCGCTTCGTCTACCTCTAAAATCTTATTAGTCAACACAATGTCAATTACATTGACTGATATCAGGATTTGGTCGGCACTGGATAACTGATGAACCTGTCTAGTCCTAATCCCCCAGTACTGATAAAAATCGATCGATTGATTTCATAGTGTGAGCACTAAGTGATGGGAAACTGTTGCACCACATATTTTGATGGTAAGTATAGGGGGTCGCAGTTGGTAGAAACCTCCGAATTGAAACTTCTTAATTGTCGGGACTCATCAAGAGGACATATCTGAAAGCAAGAAGAAACTTGCATTCGCTTGATGCTTCGGATCAGGATCATTCAGTACTCAAGGGATAGACTTTACCACTAAGCCTATTTTGGTACATAACTGAAACCCTATGGGACTGTATTATACGTACATAGATATATTAAAACAAGTAGTTGTAGTCTGAATTTATATATGAATAAAGAACAAAGAAGAACGACTTTCAATTGAAGTGGAATCCCGTTGTGACTAAAATTTTCTTTCTACTTATATCAACATTTATATGAATATTGTATGTATTACAGTGTAAATAGAATACTTAGAACTCACTTGTTCTACAGTACTAAGAAGCCTATATTTAGCGCCAAACGTATTCAATTTCATACTTTCTGGTATTACATAATTAGTAGCTGATTTCAGTTTATAATCACCCATTTGCTCTTGAGCCAGTCGAATAGCTTCAACATCTTTTGGATCTTCATAGTTATCAGCTGGTTTCATTGATTGCAATTGTTCCCACTGAGATTATCAAGAAAAAAAATGAAGAGGTCACATAAAGTTTATAGCAGTTTCTACTGACTGAACATATATTTAGGTATAATACTGATAAGGGCAAGTTTAATGTCATAAAGTGCTGGTTTAATAGTGGAATTGTTTCAGTGATTTCAAATCCCTTGATAACAGCTTGGCTGATGAGTATTCGCAAGCACGAAACCTAGGTCCAGCTTTTTCTGTCGGTTGGCTATTTTATCTCAGTTGAAGATTTTCACAATTGAGTGGTTGACTAACCTTTTAGTCGTATTGTCAGCAGAATGTATTCTTGATAAGAATCCGATATCAGACAAGAAATGGATGTTTAGTTTCCGAAACTGTCGTCCTCCACTTTTTATGTTACCTTAAAAGTCATGGTAATAGTTGAAAACAGTTTCACATCACTAGTAAAACTTTGATAACTTGATTCTGACGTCTATACAAAGGTGTATTAGTACGTTTGGAGACTAACAGTTTCTAATCAACTAACAGAAACTCGTGAACTTATATTTCACCCTTGTTATCATTGAACAACTGGGAGTATTTTCAAAATCCAGAAAACGTATGATCTTGCAGAAATTCGAATCTGTACACTCACCGCTAAAGTTATTGATTTTACCACCAGAATAGCCGTTATGATTCGGTGTTGTGAGAAGGAACGACAATAATCAAAACTGGATAATCTAGGGTTGAGACGGTTCAATCCGAGTGAATCGCAAAGGGGAATCAAAAGACTAGTAATCAGCTGAGTTTATAGCATTTGGAACTGAAAACGTTTATGAGTAAGAATGAAGTTTACAGTAACCTTGAAAGATAAGGAATAATTAGTACATTTAAAGACGTAGAAGCCATTCAGAACGCTGGCGCGTTATGTGAAGTGTGACCCATGTATAGGAAAAAGAGCGCGAATTGTAAGTTTGGAATATAAGGGATATAGGCATCCCTAACACTAGCTAAGTCATGACTGATTCCTTATTGAACTGGATAATGTGAATGGTTTAGTCGTGGAATAATAACCAATGTAGCTTTGAAGACCAAAATAAAAATTTACAAACTTCTATAATCTGATGATAAAATTATTGTCATTCACACAAAAAACGGTCCTTTTTTTAATTCGAAATGAAGATTTTAGTTGAGTGTTACTGAAGAGATCAAAACAAATACTAAATATTATAATCTACTTTACGGCTAGCAATGGAATCCAAGACGAGCGTTGTATCTTATTTGGGATTTGTCAGCTGGATGTACCCGCACCCAAATGCGTCATGTCATTCCGATTGAGACATGAACGCAGTACTCTTTGCTTTAAACGTCAAAGCGTTATTCGCTAGACCACTGTGGCATAAGGGCCACCACGTGTGCAACAGGTATCAGTAGTTGTTTAGTGATACTTGTAATTTTCCGTTGCTACACTAGGTCGAATTGCTTGACTTCTGTTTGTAGGTGCTCTCTATACGGATGCCTCGATGCTGCCCGGATATTCATTATATTGTAGCCTACTTGGTATCGATGTATCCGCATAGGAGCTCATCTGCCAACTGAGGTCAGGCAATTCTAACTGGTATAACAATGGGAAATCATAAGTACCAATTAATAACTGGTGAACAGTTGGTTATTACCATCTGAGGTTCAAGAGCTTTTAGACTGACCCTAATCAACTTCAGCAGTTTTATTGACCAATGAATACGTTTCCACAACTGCAAGAAAATGATAATCGTATCGTTGGATAACTGAAGACAATCGACAGTGAATGCAGTCACTAAAATAGTTTCTGAGCTTGTCAGTACTTATCAGTGGCGCATGCTCATTGAACTCTACAGAAAAGGAACTTGAACTCCTATCACTTAAAATTGCATCCAAAAGTTCTGCCATTGAGCCACTGAAGCTGAAGTCAACCTCTTGTAGACCTATGAACTGAAGCTTGAGTCAAATAGTTTTTATTACTCTCCTGTGTATATTTTAGTTTACTTAACTCAGTATAGTACGACCAATATAACTCCCTGGTGACGTCAGAGACTTCGGTGCTAACTGAGGGTCTTATGATGACTGCCAACTGACAAAAACCCTAGTCCAGTCACAGCATCTCTCCAAAAACCATATGTACCCAACCGAAACCAGATGCAATAAGAAACAAATTTGACTTAGCTAAATGGCAATGTTAAGGATTAGAAATGAGTTTAGAGTAGCAGAATGTTGGTTAGTTAATCTAATGATTTTAACTATGATACAACTATTATGCGGACTAGCAAACTACATTATGTAATTCCATCAATCAGTTGGCTACGCGCAATATGTTTGTGATATTAACAATGATTCGGATAACTCATTAAAACAAAAATTATAAACATTCCCTATAATTTAGTTGAATAAATCATTGAACACCTTATACCCACAAAGTTTTACCTATGATCATAGTATTTTATTACAACATTGTATGTAAAAGTAGTTTATTATCAATGATAAAATACAGAATATAATTTTGCTTTTAACCTGTGCTCGACGAGCAGCTCTCCTTTGTCTGGCCTGTTCAAGTACATGTAACTTTTGAGCAACTCTTAACCCACGTGCTCCTTTTACTGGAGCCTGAGTTTGTTCTGTATCACTTTTAACCTTTTCAGGTTCACTTTCCACATTCACATTTGCATCTAAATCGTTAGAAAGAATTAGACAAGGAAAGATAGATAATCATTAGTTGCTGTAATGAATTAACTATTATGTTTACAATAGACCGGTATGATTGCTTCACGTGTTTGTTGCCAGACGAAAAAAATATAGAGTGACTTCAAAGGCCACCCTAACGACTGCTGACATGATTAACTAAGTTTCTTTGTTTTATGGAAAACTACCTTTATTGACAAAATACCGAAACGTGATTGATCATTTCAACAGTTACTACAGTGGCCTTTAAAGCCACTCCTAACTTGCTTACACTTCCCCACATCTATGATTTACTGACTAGACTGAAGACAAAAACAAATCCGCACAGATGTCTTACCAACAGCTCTGTTTTAGGTTTACAGTCAGCGCATTTACACAGCTAAATAATATACCTACAATACACAATAAATTAAAAATATGCAGTAATAATGAGACCTGAAACAATAATCAACAGACCGAAAGAAACCTTATGAACACGGTTACGAAATAATCCTAGAAAGTAACATCTAATTGTCTTTTAGGATGAGTGATATAAATCATCGAAATATACAGCTAAATATAATAGAATCCCTTCTTTGGTTCACTATAAAATTAGCCTTCACTAAGTGAGTCAACTGATTACCCGAATTAAAATTTATTAGGAAATGTAGTTTTACTCTTTTAGCTACCCCACATATGCAACTTCTATGGTGCGGAGAGCTGCGAAGCGCAAACCAGCCAGATGTTCCCAGTAGTTAATAAAACATAAGACAATGTAACCCACACTACTAACTTTTGTTTTCTTCCTTTCATAATATCTATGTTACACTTCATACAGTGTCTTCAACCTCTCATTCTGCAATCAGTGGCAATGATCTAAACCAGCGAACCATGATCCCTATCCTCCTAGGACCTCGTTGTTGATTTAAATTGCAGCTTTCACCACGCAAACTCTATGTCAAATCAAACCACAGGTATCCCTTACCAAAAGTCTGGATTCTCTAGCTAGAGGTGAATTTTGTGTATTCAAGACATACATAGCACTAAATAATGGTTATTCACCTGACCTAATCTGATCAATTCAATGAATCTTCACAGTTCACTTATCGAGTGTACGGAGATTCAGTGGCTCTCTGGTGTAAGTATACCACTAAGTTGTAGAGTAGAAAGTGTAATCCTCGACTAGATTTCAATCAGGATCCATCTGTGTGCTGCTCGACTGGATAAACCCGTAAAAACTAGGAAGGATAGTAAGACTACCTGATGACTGTTAGTAACCACCACTTGCGGGCACCGTGACTATATCTAGGATGGTGCAAAGGATGAATTCCATCGGGAGCCTTCGATTTTGTTATAGTACGGGCTTGTGCATATCTGCACCCTACTGGTCTCAGAAAACAGGCGACAGTGAGGCCTATCTATGGTTAATTGGAAGATGAGAACATCAAGTCGGAATTTAGAGAATAGAAAGGTAAGCATTTATATAAAAATGACAGCAATGTTCATTTTGATGAAACCCGGCGGGATATTAAGTCTGATGTAGAAACAGCGGTAAGGACAGTTGGTTACCTACAGCCTAAGGTTAGCAAACGTCATTGGATTTCTGTGATGTCATCAGAACTGATTGATTCAAGAAGACTGATTCCAGCTGGCTTTGACTACGATTAAGAGCGAAAGCAACTCAAACGTGAGTTGAACAAGAGTCTTCGCGTCTATCGCGAGCGCTAGTGGGTAGCAAGAGTGAGAGAGATGGAGAAGCCATCAAGGTTAAGTAACACCCGGTAATTATTTAGGCTTGTTAAGGATATCGACAAGAAGAAAACTATGGTGATTGAAACTATCACCGCAAAGAATGGAACATTTATAAGTTCCCAGGACAGGCGGGTGGAGGGTTGTGCAGAGCACTTTAATACGTAGTTCAACTGGCTTACAGAAACGCTTCAGTTCTTCAGCATTCAGCCAGCCATAACGCGAATAGCACATGGATTTCGGTCCTCCAAACCTAACTGAAGTTGAGAAGGCTGTTTTGAGCATGAAACGATTTAAAGCGACTGGCTTTGAAGGTTTGCCACCATATGATTTTAAGGATGGAGGTATGAAATTAATGCGGAGAATAACGGAGGTGGTGAAGGAAATCAGTGGTAATCCCGTCAGAATGATCAACTTCGCTTATCATTTCAGTCTAGAAAAAAAAGAGAAAAGTCTTCTTGCGATAACCATAAGAGAATCAGCTGAATTAACATTGTTTCCGATAACCTTGAATCCATCGCTTTCTTAACTGGAGCTCGAGAAAGAAAAGCAAGCTTCAGAGCTGAACGAGGGTGCATCGATCACGTTTTCACCCTCTGCTAGGTTCTGAAACAAAGATGTACTTAGCTGCGGCCAAGACGTGGCATATTTCTCGATCTATAGGTGGTATTTGACTCCGTCGACTGTGAGGTGCTGTGGTAGTGTCTGACTGTGAAGGGAGTACCAAGAAAATATGCAACGCTAATCAGAGCTGTCTACTCGAACTCATCCAGCCGTGCAAGTTCTTGTGGAGAGTTTTGATCAGAATCGACGATAACTAGTACTAGATGTCCACCATGGATGACCACTGTCAGCGTTCCACCTTAACTTCGTAATACATCCACCTCTGAACATAACCCTAGGGATTGACCTACTTTCTGGAGTCATCTGGTTGACTTGGAGCACGGAAATGACATTGTTCTGCTAGGTGAAGACGCTGACAGAATGCAGAATCCTTTGAAGGCGATGAGCAAAAAGCTGAGTGTTTGGCTGGCAAGCACTTCATACCTGTCAAATGTAAGATGGTGCTTCAGATCTGGTCTGTAATTACTGTCAGTTAAACGATAAAGAGTGGAATGGTGGAATCTGTCTACCACTATACTTATTGGTGTAGGGTGTCTCAGCACGAATGCGCCGGACGCTGACAAAATCTGAGCTCGGGTACAGAAGACCCGTTTGGCATTTTCCAGCTTGTGTCACCTCTGGAAACAACTGATGAGATATCTGCCTACCAATTAAAGTATAAGCAGTGTCCTGAAGTCTCTTCTGTCCTGTCATGTAGCTATGAGATATGGATGTGAAAAGCGGAACATATGCGGTGGTTACAGGTTTTTCATCACAAATGTCTTCGAGGCATTTCAGGCGTTTGGTGGAATCATCATGTGAGCAATGCTGACGTTAGACAAAGAGTACCTGGCAAGACAGATAAGTCGATTGATGAGGTTGTGAGCCTTTATCGACTGAGACGGTTTGGATATGTGTTGACTATATCCAGTCAACAGTTACGTGGAAATGACATGCCAGGAGAAGTTGGAAGAAGGCTCGGAATGACCAGACTAAGATTCTAGGTGAAACGGCTGAAAATCTATCAAAATGGAGTAAATATACTCACTCTTTGATGTCTTGAACATTTCCACAAACCTCAGTTTTCAAATCTATTTTCCACGCACATATCTCTATCTACTTTTATAAGACTCTTTCACTACACACTTATTCCTTATATTGTATTTTGAAGTGTTTCAATTTAAATCGATGCACCTGTGTGTCAAGTTCTACATCATTTATGTCTTTCTCTGAATTGAAGTGATTGTAGGAGAGTACATTAAATATGGAGTTTGTAGTTTGTTGATTGCTTTCCATGGATCAACACCAATCGGAGAACCATTGAAAATCCGGAAGCACTGGATATCACTTTCGTCCTAGTTTTGAACTCCTCAGCAGTACACATCCAATAACCACATGAAGGGTTGAACTTAAGACCTCTAAGCTTCATCGCTAGCACACTACCACCCAGCTACTGAGCTGCGATCCAATAGTCCACCTTTTCCTGCTTCTGTCAATGCGTGATGTAGCACGACAATCGTAGATTAAACTAACTTTTCGAAATAAGCTTGAAATATTTAACTGAAGGTTGACTCTTGTTCAGTGCCGAGATGTATACTAACCTAGGCATAATGTGGTTGAGTTCAATAGGGATTAAAATTGGCTTCAAAATTCACGTTCCTTTAATATACAATGTAAAGATAATTTTGAGACAAGATTCCTATTGGTTTTGGAATCTGATTACCTCACACAAGAAGATAGATTAGTAGTTATCTCACGACAGACAAGTCAATGATGCTAAACAAACGCTGACTAACAGTACAATTTGCATTTTCTTCTTTTTTTCAGCGGATGGTAACTACATGGATGAACTAAAGCACAGAAAAAAGATAAATAACTAATTTCATACGCTTATTTCGTTTTGCTTTAACTTGAACGTAGCATGAACAACGATTTCAGGCAGAGCAATGTGGGAACATTTCACTTCATTGATTTTTCTTCAATTGCTTACTATCAAGATTATCAAAAGTAATGAACCAATCTAACATTTTAACATACTTTATTTCATAAGAACGAACAGTCAGTCAGTTGTTGGAACAAATATATGTCGACATAATAGACTGAGGAACAACAGCGAAGGTCAAGATAGCACAGAAATATTATGTTTATACACATTGTACAACTGAAAGTTCTTGAATATTGATAGGGATAGAACAGACTGTTGTGGGCATTAAAACAAGAGTATAATTAAGTAATTATACTGGTCTAAGCAGGGTTCTAACCAGCACCCTTTCCTCTTGTACTACTGGCCCGGTGCTCTACCAAGATCCAGCCTGCTGACCAGATCTTAATTTCACTCCAGTCACAAAGAGTTTTTCCAAATTGCCATATGAACTCGTGATGTGTTACTGTTCGTCCATAATATTCGCTCTGACTACCCAGTCAGGACTACTAATACTTAGATTCGTCAACAGATAGGTATGTTGTTAAAACCCATTGTGTAAAACAGAGTGAGTTGGACTTAAAAATATGGCAGTATGAGTTCTAAGTGAAAGATGATGCTTACAAATAAGAATAAAAGTTAGCACGTAGGCTTAGTAAACAGCTTAAGTAAGCAAGTTCAAGTTAACTTTTGGAATCGAGTTACCAAGACAAAGATAAAAAGATGACAGCTTCT